CAAGCAGAAAGGACGAGCTCGCAAAGGAACCCAAGATGGAAGCTTTGCAGTTCGGTTGAGTTGATTGCGCAGATTCAGTTCTATCCAACTCGGAATTGTACTGTTTTGTTTGGTTAACTATAGTGTAGCAGGGAAGGCACTATAGGGGTACAATTTAGGTGAAGGTTGGATGTTGTTTGTCTGTATCTGCATGCTACAAGGCCAGGGGAAACCAGCGGAACCAGCATTTGGCTGGTTGGGCAAAGACAAAACAGGTTCTGTTTTTAGAACCTGAACCTGGTTGTTGTTTTCCCAGGTTGGAAAAACAGAACCAGAGGTTGTTTACCAACCTACCACCTGCTATTTTGTCCAGCCAGGTTGGTTCTGTTGCTTGGAATTGTTTGGGATCATCCCTGGTTGTTCCCAGGTTGATTCCCAAGGTCCTTGCTAGCTAGAACTATTTAATCCTTCTCTGTTTGTACCTGAATATAGTCAAATTGATTCAAGCGAATTCCTTCCTCGCTGGAATTTCGTTTCTACGCGGTTCGTTGGCGGAATGCTACCCGAGTCAACGCTAGTACGCTAGCGCTCCAACGCTAGGCAAACGCTGTCCGAGCCATAACTTAGTAATGGCAGAACTTTTCGCGAGGCAACTTGGCTCATTTTAAAGCTCTTGGAGCGAGCTTCGATATAGCAAGTTCTCAGCTTAATCCGACCGACGGTCTGCACGGCACGCTGCGCGACGTTCAAGGTACTCTTGCTGTTTTGACTAAGTCCTTCTTGATCCCTCTCTCTACAAACTCGGACCCGAGGATAGGGGCTGGTCTTGTACCAGGCACCCAGGGACCCTTGGAGGTGACCCCGAGGAGAGGTTTTAAGTTTGATTAAGTCCTAATAGCTTGAGTTTATTAGGCCATTATACCAACAAGCTGGTATCAGAGCTGCGTTATAGTGATCCTCGTTATAGGTAGCTATGGCGGGCAACACCTCGGCGGGAGCTGGTGAATCTTCAGCCCAAGATCGTAGCGGCAGCCAAGATTCTGGTCTTTCAGCGCCAAGGGGAGCGCGAACAAACCAGGGCTCGCTTGTCAAGGAGGTGCTGAAGAATTTCACCGTCGAGAAGTTCAATGGTGAGGGCTATGATGATTGGGCCTGGAAAATGCAATTATATTTCCGTCAGATCGGTTTGCTGAAACTAATGATTGGGGAGGAGCCTAGACCGAGTGACCCCACGCTGCAGGAAGATTGGGACGAGCGCTCCTCGGCTGGCTACTATTTGATGTCGCAGAGTTTGGAGCTGAACCAGCGTCACCACGTCATGCACCTGCTGCCGGAGGTTGAATGCGGTCCGAAGGCGTGGACCGTGTTGAAGGAGCTGCACGCCCCGACCTCCGTTGTCGCAACGTTGATGCTGGAGAGGGAGCTGTCCGCGTTGCGCCTGAGCGAAGGAGAGCCGGTGCAACCAGTCCTGGACAAGATGCGCGACCTCTACGCGAAGTTGGCGACCGCGGGAATCACCTACCCGGAGCAGACCAAGTGCTTGAAGATGCTCTCGCTGCTGCCAGAATCGTGGCTTCAATTTACGAGCGGATTGAGCCTGCCGCAGAACCAGAGCTTGTGGACGCTCGAGTGGGTGCGGACGAAGATTCTGGAGGAGGACTTCCGTCGCCGCCAACTGAGGGGTGGAGACGACGGCAGCAGCAGCTACGGGATGCAAGGGAGCCGACGTGGCAGAGGACGTGGCTTTGGTGGTGCTGGACGCGGTGCAAAGAAAGACGACGACTCCAACGACCAACAAGGAGGTACCGGTTGGGGTCGCGGTGCGAAATCTGGACGTGGGGGCAAGTCGGGTGCTGGTGGCAAAATGAAAGGGAGTTGCTGGTATTGTGAGAAGGAAGGGCACCCCTGGTTTTTGTGCTATAAGAAACCCGATGGATGGACCCCCCAGAATCGTCACCAGGATGGCGGCGCGCGGAGGAACCAGAAAAACGGCGCCAACATGGTCGCTGATTCGTCCGACAACAACCCGAAGGGCAACGGCGGTGCGGAGAAGAAGAAGGAGCGCACCGCGGGCCAATTCTTCCATGTGGGAGACAAGGGGGAGCAAGGAGACGCCTCTGCCAAAGTTGGAGCAGAGCTGCACCCCCTAGACTATTGGGTGTTGGACACAGGCGCTGCTTGGACGATGACGCCGCGCAAGGACCTGCTGGACGAAGTACGAGCTGCACCGATCAATGAAGTGTGCTCCGCCTCTGGACACATGTTGAAGGTGGCTGGTGCGGGACGAGCTGCGTTTAAGGGAGCGGATGGCAAGCCGGTGGTGCTGCACGACGTTCTCTTCGTCCCCGACCTGAAGGCCAACCTTATCTCCCTCCGTAAGCTTGGCAAGGCTGGGGTGAACACCAACACGGATGGGGCACGCACTTATAAGGGGAAGCTGGGCAATCGGGTGCTTTGGGATCTGCACGAGAGCAAGGACGTGTACAGATCTATGTGGCAGCTGCCGGCCCTGGCGTGGCATGGTGGGGGGCAGGCTGGAGAGGGGTCTGCATCCCAGGGGGAGTGCAATGCCGTTGGAGGGGTTGGTGTGAAAGTGTCGGCCAGATCTGGGGAGACAGATTGGGCAACGGCACACCGGCGCTTAGGGCATGTGGCAATGCCTTTGCTGAAGCAGCTGGAGAAGGATGGAGCCGTTAAGGGTCTGAAGCTGAACGGACAGCCACCCGATGACAACTGTGAAATCTGTTTGCTTTCAAAGTTCACCCGTTTCCCTTTCCATAGTGTGGCTGGCAGGAGCAAGAAGCCTTTGGAGCTGGTCCACATGGACTTGGTGGGGCCGCTGCCGGTGCAAGGGCACAAGGGGGAGCGGTATTTTCTTACAATTGTGGATGACTGGAGCAGGCTGATGTGGGCGTATCCGCTGAAGCAGAAGGACCACGCCGCCTCCACGATACGGGACGATTGGCTGCCATTCGTGGAGAAGCAGGCGGAGTGTGTAGTGAAG